ACTGCCTCTGGAAACCCACCAGGGGGTCAGCTGTGGGTTGGTTTGGGCTCAGTGGTACACAACAACAATAATACTAATGCACTTGAAAATCATATTTAACAAAGCAGGAAAACCATTGGAGGGTTGGGTCTGAATCAATTCTGAGTTGAACTGTTGACTCCAACATGAGTCTAGCACCGCTGTTTCCTGCTCTGCTGGCCTCAGGGGAATTGGATATAAAAAAATAGGTAACTATGAAAGCAAATCATTCATCTAAGTAAATGAATACGTATTTCCCACAACAAACAGAAATATTGGGTGCTACCTACATACCACTTACCCTCCATCTGGTTTTTGGAAGTCCTGAATCACAAGGGAATAGATTGCGCATCTTTCTGCCGTGAAGCCAGGTGGATTCGAGTCATCAGAGAGGCTCTTCCTTTGGGTTAGCATTGAAACTCTCTGAGGACGATTTCATCAGAACTTACTTAGTGAAGTGGAGTGCTTTTAGTCAATTACAGTAGATTAAATTAAGAAATTATATGTTAATATTAGAAAGTTCCGTAATATCAACCAAATTAATTATAGAATGTGGTGTTGTGCACCATCAAGTTGGAACTGACCTATGGCTGACTTTTCAACAGGTTTTCAGAGACAGTAGATTACATGGGAGGAGATTGTCCACCTTTCTTCCATGAGTAGCTCGTGGATTCAAACCACATACCTTTGTCTTAATAGTGCAATTCCTTACCACTAAGCCACCAGAGTTCCCTTGATAAGAGAATGGTTTCAATGATTTTAAAAGGAGTTTTTTATGGAAGGGGAAATGATTATCTAGATAACTCCTACACATATTTAAACAGTAATTGGAACCACGTGAAATGGTTCTTTGTTGTTATGTGGCACCGAGTTGCCTGCGACCCTATGTACAACAGCCCTAAACCTTGCTCTGTACTGTGCCAATCGTACTGTCTCTGACACACATACCCCATTACCCCAGTCACTGAATCAATCTATCTTATCAAGGGTCTTTCTCTCCTCTGCTGTCCCTCCACTCTCCCAAGCATGATGTCCTTCTCCAAGGACTGGTCGCTCCTTACAACATATCCATAGTATGTCAGATGAAGCTTCAGAATCCTTGCCTCCAGGGAGCCGCCTGGTTCAACCCTCTCCAGTATGAATCTGTTTGTTTTCCTAGCAGTCCAGCTAAAATAATATTTTTAAAATTCTAACACCCTGAAAAGTAGACTAGGGGACAAGGAAAAGAGGGGGAAGCAGGAAAATGTGCAACAAGGAATTAATGAAACCCCAACTTTTCTGTAAAACTTTCATTAATATCTAACAAATTTTAGGATTTTCAGTTTAAAAAATATTTAAAATGTTTTAAATATCATCTAACCATGAGAAATTAATATCCCCAATATGATACTGGCTTAAGTTCTTTTTATTATTTATTTCTGAATCTCAGCCATATTGGAGATCTAATCTGGCCATTTCTTGTGTTATTTGGGACCATTATTTGTGACTGGGGCACCTGGAAGGTGCAAACAGCTAAAATCTTGACTAAGGCATCTAACAAGCCTGAAAATTTGCTTTAGAAAGGACACAGCCTTGAACACCTTATGGAGCAATTCTACTCTGCATACATACTGACGTCAGAAGCAACTCGATGGCAACAAACAGCAACTTTGAAACTGAGCAAATTTCCAGTTAATTCATTGGTAAAGTTCAATGCAAGCCTTATGCTTTTAAGCAGAGGGTTGAATACAATAATGTAATAAATTATTATTTCTTAACCTTTCAATAGATTTCATATAACAGCTATTTCTAAGACACATTAACCTACCAAATCATGTTGTTATCTGACCTAGTGGATAGGGAGTTATACTGCCAGCTCAGAAACAGGAATTTCGAATCTTCCAGCAGCTCTGCTGGGGACAAAAAAGATGGACAATCTCTTCCTAGTAATTTATAGGCTCTGAAAACTTCCTGGAGGGTCAGCTATGTGTCGGTTCTGTCTCAACCACAGTGTGTCTGAGATTTTTGTGTGACAAACAAGCATCTGTGAAGACCCCTTGACCAAAGGGGAAACAATAAACAAAATATCAACAGGCAGCATGAAGAAGAAACTATTTCCTCTCTATCAAAAAACTCCTTCCAGTCATTTGTTCCAGGTGGAGCTGCAGGTGGTGTAGCAAATAGAATCAGCCAGGCTCCTGTTGAGAAGTTATTGAAGGTGGCTTCAAAAATTTTATCTGTTAGAGCCCATTCTATAGAAAGTTAATGTTAATTACATAGTTTCCAGTAAGCAAATGTTAGAGCTTTTCAATTTGCCTCAGAACTGCCAGGGGTGGTATTTGATTAAATAAACTCGGTGGCTTAAGTACTTAAATTAGATTTGAGATGTGCATTATAAATGTCACTTGCAAAGCATTTTTCCAAGCCTCTCATAGTTCAAGTAGTACATCCATTCTCCAGCCTTTGGTTATGCCCTGAAGAGGTTGTATTTTGACTGGGCCAAGGGGGAAATGTGCTTAATGTTGGGCACCCAGACCTTTACAGTGGTCCATGGCTTAAATATTTCTGAAAATTGTCAATGCCACAGGCAACTATCATGTCGGGGAGCACGATGAGCTTGAATCATGAGTCCCCAACACCCCGCAGTCAACTTGGGCGACAGGCCAGCTTTCAGGAACGTAGCACCTCCCGGCCACACTACAGCCAGACGACTCGGAGCAACACTCTGCCCTCAGATGTGGGCAGAAAGTCTGTCACCCTGAGAAAAATGAAGCAAGAGATAAAGGATATCATGTCCCCAACTCCTGTGGAGCTGCACAAGGTCAGTAAGCGTTCTTCTCTTGCCTTGGGTCAAATATAACAGTCACTTCACACACAGTGTGCACATCCTGATACAAGGATAATAATGACATTTTCCAGTGGGCTCAGACCAGGGAAAGCAGAACTTGACAACAGATCTACAAATGCTTTCTTATTCCCAAAACATGATCTTTGAAGGTTATTCTTGAAAAGCATGTCAGTTGGCTTTCAAGCAATTTATTTGTCAAAAATATATCTAATTATACAGAAAAAAGATGTAGAAAATCTTTTAAAAGCCTGAGACTCCATTGTAACCTATAATTTGATGAATTGGTCTATTATTTTATAAAACTTCATTTGAAATGGGAGAATTGTCCAAACATCATAATATATTCTTAAATTCACTGGGAGATTTCAGTTCAATGTAGGAAAGCTTAAATGTTAAAAATTTTAGCAGAAAGTTGTGTTATTCAAGAGATACGAAGTTCTCTTTCAGGCATAATTTAGATGTCTTAGGCCACAACAAAGGAAGTCCTTGCTGTGTTCTTTTCCTGTTTGACAGGTGGATAGTTGCTTCACTTAAATTCATTGCGGGGTGGTGGGGAGGGGCAGGGGGAGCCATAGTTGTTCAAAAAGCTGAATGAAAGAGGACCTTGCAGTTTTGACAAGGCTTATGAAAATGATAGTATTTGTCAAATCCTGCATGGGGAGAGCAGTGGTAGGAAAATATTGCTGGTTTTCCCTTCTTAGTTAAAGCTTTGTTCGTAGTACACAAGGATATCTATCTATCTATCTATCTATCTATCTATCTATATCTAGATAGATTAATACCTAATAATCCACTCACAGAGATTAGTGGTTTTACTCACCAGCTGAAATAAGGTAATGGTCAATAGGGAGCTGTGGTAGCCTAGTGGCAAGAAGGTGCACTGCAATTCTGAAGGTGTGTGGTTCAAATCCACTAGATGCTCCACTGGAGAAGGAGGAGCAATATCCTCCTGTGCCACTTGAGTCTGATTCGATGGTACACAACAAGAAAAACATAAAAAAAAGAGAGAGAGAAGGGGAAAAAAGAAGCAATGGTAATTGAGGAAATTCAACTTGTTCTGAAGGAATTAGCAGAAGAAAAAAAAGGATAATGATGAAACAATTTTCTTCCTTGTCACTTTATATAATCTAGCTATTTATTTTGTAACCAATAATGACTATATTGGGGGTAACGCATAGCATGGGAGATTCAGATCTAAGAATTTAATGTTTTCACTTATTTACTCAAAGAATATATTGTATGTTCGGAAAACTCATAGTCCCTTGGGAAGATCGTCTGGAAGACTATGGGACAAACAATAAATGACAGACCTTAGCTCAGAATGTTTAAGGGACATGGCTAGTGACCTGTAACCCACCAGAGATGGGAGAGGGCAGGCTTCCTTCCTGCCACTTACCACATAGAGAAAGATGGAAGGTGGGAAGGTATTCCAGGAACAGAAAGAAGCATATGCAAAGATTGAGGTGCGTTGGGGGAATACACGTAATTCAACATGACTGGAGCTCAGAATTTAAGTAGAAGCCCTGTACATAAAGAGGCTAGAGAGAGAGCATGGTTTATGAAGAGTGTGATGTGCCATGGCTATTAAAGCATGTGTTCAAAGGAGACTGCTTGAGTTCACATCCTGGATGTACAGATATCAGCCAGACGACCTACAGCTGGACCCACTATGTCTCATTTCTACACCTGTCAAGTGAGGACTGTGATACTCAATTTCCTGGGTTGTTGTAAGGACTAAATTAACACCTGCAAGGAACTTCAAATAGGAAATGACAAAGCCGCTGCCTGATAAATGTTAGTTGCTATTGTTATGTTTTATGAGCAAGTTTGGATGTTATAGTGAAATCTGGACATCTCTATTAATTTTTTAAAAAGGAAACACATGATCAGATTTGTGTTTTTTAAAGTATGTGATGGGCATAAGGAGACTAGAGATAAAAAGACTAGTTATGTGACTGTGTATTTACATCTTGCCTTATTTCAAAATGAAATTGAGAAAGGTCTCCTTTCATCACAGGCTGAAAAACTAAGCAGGTAACAGTAGGAAAGAGTGAAAATTCATTAATAAATGTAATGGAACATATACTGTGTGCCAGGTATAATTCTAAACTCCAGGATATGACATTCAAGAAAATTGATGAGATCTCTGATCTCATGAGGAGTCTCTTCCTGGTGCAAACAGTGAGCGTGCAGCCGCTAACTGAGAGGTTAAAGGTTCAGAACCACCAGAGGTGCCTTAGAGGAAGAACCTGGTGGTGTGCTTCAAAAGAACCAGTCACTAAGGCTCTGTGGAGCACCATTTTCTTGGACACACAGAGTCACCATGAATCAGAATAAACAGCAACTGGTATTTTTGTTTTACTTGTCCTTAGGAAATACAATCTATTGTATAAAACTTTTTAAAAATAAAACATAGATTGCACCCTTAAGAGACTACAGATAAACCTATCTTTCATATTCTGCAGGGGAAATTTAAAAAATTCCCGACTCTTTTTCTCATGGTCTCCCACCAGCCCACAGTATCCCCAAGGGGTGCCTGTATCTGGGGAGCAGGTATAGTTATCTTGTGTTAACATTTCTTTACTGTTGATTTTTAAATGACGTTAACCAAGATGTCCTAAGACTTGGTGCGCTAAGTGGACTTGGGTGCAGCATGAGCATCCCTCAATTTGAGTATAAAGTCCTGTACTGGTTTTCCCCATCCTCCTGGACAATGGCCCCGGGTGACCGTCACGCCCAAAGGGACCCCAAGAAGGCGAGGATCCCCACTGCCATATCTTCACGTGTTTATTCTTCATCGGTTTCAGAAGGCTGAGGGATGTGGGGACTGATTACAGGATGTTTGTCACAGAAGCTTCTCTGGGCCCTGACTGATTTGAGACGCACTTAGATTTTGCATAACTCAGCTTTGAACAGAGCTCTGTGAACATCATGGTTTTGACAACTAATCAGGGCATCTCAGAGGCTGAGCAAGACCAGGGGCTCCTCCATGCTTAATGTTAAAATGGTTAACAGGGCCCCAAAAAGGAAATACTAAAATTGTGGTAGATTTTAAATACTTACGCTTAATAAAACAGTAGCACAATGAAAAGTAAAAAACATAGAAATAAGTACTAATAGTGGAATTCTTCTCAACTCACTCTTGATAATGTTGTGCACAGACCACCAGATGTTAGTATGTTGCTATTGTTATGTGCCATCGAGACAAACCAACTCATAGGTATCCTTCTTGTGAGTTTACAGAGGTTGCTAGTCGCACTGGAGGTGATTTCCCACCTTTCTTCCGTAAAGCAGCTGATGACTGAACGACCTGCCTTTGGGTTGGCAATGTAATCCCTTACCCACTAGGCCACCAGAGCTTCCACTATAATTATAATGACTAACAACTGATTTTGTAAAATATGCTGACTGTAATAACATACTGAACACTCAAGGTAATAAGCTGCTTTCTTCTCCACCCCTGCACTTCTCTCAGGATAATGCCAACTGTTAATTGGTTGTGGCTTTTACCAGTCTTATTTGTTCTTGCTGTAATAGTATCATATTTACATTATTTAATGAATATTATGTAACCCATTATTTTAAAGTACAAAGAAAAAGATTTGGGATTTTTCTTTTGTTTTTAATGAAAATGCATTTACATTTTCTAGAGGATTCAGTAAACATAATTTATAGTTAGAAAACTGGGGAATGGGAGGGAAATCCAGAATGTTTCTACATTAAAATTGCTTTGCAAGTATCTTTGAGATCTCATTAGATTTTTAAAAATTCCCAAACTAGAAATTGTTGATGATGTATGTACGCATTTTTAGGGGGAGGAAAGAACACTTTTAACTCCAGCCAAATTCTGTTCCATTCACTTGATTATATCTGTGTACTGTGCTCTTCCTGAAAGTCAAGACAGCAAAGGCCATCATGAGTCCGGACAGAAAAGATGAAAAATCTCCCTTTGTTTTGTTTTTTTTTTTTTTAACCAAGAGCATAGGCAGCATTGGGATGGCCATAACTGACCTCTGCTGACTCCACAAAAGGGACTGTCCCCATCAATAATATCCACAGTACAAAACTAATTCCTGTAAGGTCTTATGTGGTCTCCCACTTTCTTACGCATACTTCTACTAATTCCATCACCAATCTTACTGCTCTACTGGGTCCAAAATCCACTGCAGGGGCCACACAGATCACACAGAACCATGCTCACAGTTATTGTGCTTATTAGTAAGGTATAACAGTTACAATTCAAGTTGACAACAAGATGATGTTGTTGTTGTTATGTGCTGTCAAGTCACTTGCAACTCATAGCGACCCTATGTACAACAGCCCTAAACCCTGCTTTGTCCTGTGCCAATTGCACTGCCTCTGACACTTCCATTCCAATTACCCCAGTCACTGAATCAATCTACCTCAAGAGGGCCTTCTTCTCCTGTGCTGTCGTTCCACCCTCTGAAGCATGATATCCTTCTCCAAGGACTGGTCTCTCCTCACAACATGTCCAAAGTATGTTAGACGGATCCTCAGAATCCTTGCCTCCGGGGAGCCGCCCAGTTTAACCCTTTCCGGGACAAATCTGTTTGTTTTCCTAGCAGTTCATGGTACCCTCAATACTCTTCTCCAGCACCGCAGCTCAAAGGCATCAATTCTCCTTCTATCCTCCTTAGTCATTGTCCAACTCTGACGCTTAACAAGTGATAGCAAAGACCATGGCCTGTATCAGATGCACCTTAATCTCCAGAGACACCATTGTTCTTCAGTACTTTGGAGAGGTCCTTACCAGCAGACTTTCCCATCGCAATATGTCTTTTAATTTCCTGGCTACTGGTGCCAAGAGTGTTGACTGTGGAGCCAAACAAACTAAAGCCGTGAACAATCTCTTCACCATCCATCCTGATGCTGCCAATTGGCCCAGTGGTAAGAATCTTTGTCTTCTTGACATTGAGCCTCAATCAATATTGGAGGCTGCAGTCCTTGACCCT